CAAAAAAATTGCATTAAAGGTTCAAACTAAATTTATCAAATAACGCTATTAATAATATATTTTGTAATAATATTGTTCCACGGTGGTGAAATTATGGCAAAAAGCTTGTGTAGACAATCCATTTTACCCCAATAACAAAATTCAACGCAGATAGTGCAATTTCAAAATTACATTGACAAAATCAAAGGGTTTTCGATGGAAACTGCTATAAAGTGATTGCTATAACATACTACACATCTAATAGTATGATATAGGCTTTAAAATCAGAGAAATTACCCTTTTAACCCGTTTTTAATCAACGTTGCGCCGTGATTGGTAAATAGCGCTGAACGTCACTATTGGTTTCATGAGCTTTTCCAGTAGGAACGGTCTAGTAGTTTCCCGGTGGCTTGATCAAACATTCTCGGTTCTCGCATACAATCGTGTCTCTAACGCCAAAAATGTCAATAGGATCCAGTGAACCTGGTTCAGTGTTTAACCTGCAACGCAATCAGATTACCGAACATCGCCAGGTTAGTACATTATATTTTTACTTTTTAATGTTTATAATATTTGAAATACTTAATAATTTAATCACATCTATTAACAGAAAAGAAAACGAACCACATATACGTTACATCAGCTTAATAAACTAGAAGAACTATTCAATACTACGCGGTACTCAAATGAAATACTAAGACAACAACTGGCTGAAACTATTGAAATTGACCCATATCGTGTAAAGGTCAGTTATAACTTTTATTTATTTAAGTAAGTTGTTTACTTCTTGTGTTAAAAAAATAGTTTACACTAACTTAATTGAAAAATGTTGCACAGTGTATATAAATTACGTTTCATTACTATACGGATCTTGTGTGTGCAATAACAAAAATATTATCCAGTCAAATTTGTTAGAAATTCGAGTTCTTACACTTCTTGTGTAGCAGTCCTTCGGTTACAAGCTTCATACTAGTAAAAACTATTAAAATATATATAATGAGTAAAAAAACTCTTTTAATAATTTATTATTTTCAACTTTACTATAATACTATTACTATAAGATATACTTACAGTATATTATAGTTACAGTATTAGTCATAGATAATAGACTGGGCCAAAAAAACAAACAACTTTTTTTTGAACGGCACTATGAAAATATTGTTCATGATGATAAAAAAATGATGGTGAAAGTTAGAGCCCTTAATATTAACATTCAGATACCTATCATGACGACTGACGGGTTTTTACACTAATGGCATTTTTTTTTATCTATAACTAAGTTATTGGCCTGAAAAATTCTATTGATACATATTCCTAAAGAAAATTGAGTTTCCTACAAAAAAGCTAATTATGTAAATTTTCCTCAAACAAGTTTTTTTCATCGAAATCACGCCTTAAACATTTAACGGTTTTTTCAGTTTGAATTTTTGTAACTACCACAAATATCAATAATTAATATTTAAACGACTTGTTTGACGAAAATTTACAAAGATAGCTTTTTTTAGCTAAAAAGAAATATATCTTAACTTAAAAAAAAAAAAGTTTTATGTACTTTCGTTGATATAATAAAAAAAACCTTTGTGAGTATTTTTGTTAGACTATACAATAGTGGCTTATTTCCAAAACTAATTATCAACCCTTTTTAAAATTTCGGGAGAATATGAAAAAAACTGTTTAAAACGTCTAAAACAATCATAGATATAATTTGTTTATTAATCTACTTACATTTTAAGTTATTTTTCTGACAAAGTTTCAAATCAAACACTTTAAGGCTTAAGCCAAATGAAAATATTTAAGAAAAATGATTTCAGATAATTAGTATTAGCTCTAAAATGTGTGTATATTATTAATTACTAGATTAAAGTGGGAGGATTAAAGTTCCGAGGAAAAAAATCATTACGATTTTATTTATGTTGTCAACTTGGTAAACAAATATAATAAGTATTTTCGTTTTTTTAAACTTAAATGATTACTAACTTTAAAATTAAATTCAGTGATAACCTAATGTGAGTATCTATTGGTTAAATTTCTCATTTCTTATTTGTAATTCTATACATAAGGGTTTAATATATAATTATGTAAACAAGGGCGCCCATAAACATTAAAACAAATAAATAATAAGTTTTGGAAATAAATTTACAAATAAAGTTAAACTTTATTAGGGAAATAATAAGTTTTGGAAGTATATTTAAAGACCAAATTAAAACAATATATTATTAAAAAACTTTAACATAATATCAATATTAATTTTTTGGAAATAAGCTACTCTATTATGATAAACTATGTTAAAAATAGGGTAAGCCATCTTCTGGTAAATAACATGTTTCTTAAATGTGTGTTTACTTTTTGACTTGTGTCACTTAACAAACACATATCGACTGCCCCAACGAAAAGGGTCGTATCTCGTTTATGCAACTTTTCAGGATGAACCAAACAAACATTCAAATTTAAATTCTTATTCTGTTTTTAACATATCAGTTTGAAAATTTGGATACATTTTATAGTATGTTATCCAAATTTTCCAAGTTAAAAACAGAATAAGAATTTAAATTTGGATGTTTGTTTGGTTCATCCTGAAAAGTTACAAAAAACTAGGTACGACCCTTTTCGTTGGGGTAGTCGATGTGTAAATTTCAGTTTTCTTTACTGTTTGTACATTTAACTGTCGTTACATTATTTTACGCCTTTCGTCTCATTGTGCACTAACATTTTTATACTACACATGGCACATATTACAGTAGTATTCTAATTTATGCCACTTTGAACTTAAATAATCACACTTAGCTTAGTCTTCACTTCCTCATCGTCATATAATATCTATATTTTCCAAACTAAGTTGTTCAGTACCTCATAGAGTTTCTCAGGGAATCAACCCCGTGTAAACTCAATTTACCTAAGAGTACTTACATACACCAGCACTTTGAAAAAAAATGATTAAATTAAAATCTAAATTTTATAATTCAAAAAATGTTTAGTAATAATTAATAAAAGCCCAATCCCACTTAATATTATAAAAAAAAAATGTATAGATTAACTAAAACAGTATCTATCTATTTCATTTGTAAAATACCGTGTATTGTTAAAGTTTTCGACGAAATATTACCGGGGGATTTAGCTTTCAACCCCCCTAACCTCTGAATTTTGGGTATGAAAGTCGAAAGTTTGATTGTACAACTTTTTTGTTACTTAGATTTGGTTTCAAAACCGAAGAGCAAGGCTGCGTAATGATTTGAATCTACAAAATTACCACAACAAGTTGCAGAACTGGCGAATGAATAATATTAAAGCGCAAGCCGATTTAAGAGGTAACCTCGTCAACATTTAATTTTAATAATTTCAATAAAATAATTATGTTAACTAAAATTTTACCTTGTATAGGACATCAAGCACTGTATGGAGCCCATTTTAACGAAACCAGTTATGGTACTATCAATTTAAGACCGGATTTAGAGGAGCAAGAAGAGCAGACAAATATAAGTGTATACCTAAATAACTTCTATGAGCCCAGAAACGTTGAGTATCCAATTTATTTTGCGTTATAATGTATAACCTTTAATCATTTTCTAAGTTAGTTAGTTATTAATATAATTTATAACATTAAACCATACTTAACAATGATTTTTTTGTCTGTAACCGCTGTAACTTATTTTTATGTTATTCATTAATTGTTTACAAAAAGGTGTGATATTTTTTTAAACACAAAACAAAAAAATTGTTATTGAAAAGACTTATTGATTCAGAAAGACGATGAAGAAGAAAAATTAAGCTGGGAAGAAATCGATGAATGGGTGGATGCTATAATTCAAAAATATGATTTGTTAATAATTAATTCTAAAAATATACCATATATTTTTTTTAATTTAAATTTAAATTCACTTAAAAAATACTTTTTAGAAGACAACACATATAATTGTATAGAGGAGGTGTAGTGATATTTATATTATTTATTTATTTTTTTAAATTAAACAATAATGTTTCGTTCACGTAGTTCTTCAATTATTGATATTATTTCATTACTTACACCTGTATTCCCAGCCTCTTTAGAAGCCATTAAAAGAGCAAGCCTAGACACTAACTCATTTGGATTATCATAATAAATGATTTGTGTATTAGGTTGTACATTCTTATATAATATACCAGATCCTTCTTTTGACTTAAAATGGGCGGTAAAGGCCCATATTGCTACTACTAATCCAATTGAATACATTAAAAGTTAGAGTATCAATAAAATCATTTGTTATGTCATTTTGTGAAATGTTAGAACACTCAATATTTAAACATTGTGTGCACCTCAACTTAAATTTTTTTAAATAGTCCCAAATTCGTTTAAATATTTTATTTACCTCGATAAAAATTCCAACATTTGCAAAACTAGAATCACAATAAACTACAAAGGTATATATTAAAATATTCTATCAATAAATACCGTATGTCACGGATCTTAAACGTTTTGTAGTTTAAATTTAATATATTATGATTAATACCTTATTTAGGATTTTGAAGCTTTATTAGAATGTTCTCAGGAAAAGAAGCCAAGTCGAACAAATTTTTAAAGATATAATTCAAAGATATTTTCACTGAGCCAAATTCTTTCTTCATAGCTGACATTATCAAAGGTTGTTTAGGTTTTGTTATAAAAACATATCGTAACGAGATGGAATTACTTTTATGATAATGTAAGTGCCTTTTTGGTTAATATCAATCAAGTTCTTTTAAATATAATATAATTCTATATGTAATAATTACATGAAAGTGTCCAAAATTAAAAAAAAAACATGTTTTGGAGTTCATGGTAGAATAGAACAAATTAATTCAGCAGTATGCATAAAGATGAAGATGCTAAGTACATTTTTATTTTAATGGCCAAAAAAACGTCTAAAAATATCGTTATTGAAAATAAATTGGGAGAGTAAAAAAAAGAAACTCTACACAAAGTATTAGCGTTTTGAATTCTTTACCTTCTCTAAAATAAGTATAAGTCATACATTATAGAAGTTAGTTGCAATTACATTTTGTAATTAGACCTTCTGTCCGTCTTTGTGGTTGTCATTGCCGTTGCACCAGTGGAACGAATTTTTCTGTGTTGATAGTGTGGTATAATCTAAAAAAAGACGGAATATTAGTGACAAGAACTAAAATTTAGATTACTTAAATATGATAAATAATTTTATATTGCATTAGAAACAGACAACTTTCATGCAAATGATTTCAATTTTAATTATTGAATTAATAAGGTAAAAGTAGATGAAAATTATTTAGTATTGAGGAACCTTTATTGACTATTAGGGAAAAATAGCCAACACCTATATATTAATAGGCCAAGGCTTAGAGGTGTCTAAAATTTATTTTATTTTAAATAAGTGACACAAAGCATATGACTTAAATTTAGTTTAAAATAAAAAAAAATACCAAAACAGTTTACATATTTCATAACTTGAAATTATGATGCGCTATATCGTTTTAGTTTAAAAATAGTCGAATGTTTATAAATTTGTATGGAAAGTTTTTTAAACATAGTTTTATGAATAGGTATACTTTGATAAACTAAAAAAATTATACAAATCCATTCTCCCCAATGGGTAGACATTTTTTACTTTATTTCACTCTATTATGTGTAGTTTATGGCCTTTAGACCTGAAAATTAAACTGAATTTAATTTAGTAAAGGCCCCTATACTATGCTAGGGGGGTATTATATATTTAGTTTTCTCAAAAACGTGTGGTCTGTCTTATTTTTTATTAAGGAAATATAAAAAAAAAGAGTTATAATATCTCATGAATCCCTATGATCTCCAACTATCCAATATGTACCGTTTCCATTATGCAGTGGTTCTAAATCAAAGTTTTTTTTTAAATGGTTAGGTATACCCATTTTTAACACAATACTCTCCAACAAAACAATTAATATTTATGGGGTTTGGCCAACTATTTCAGATTTTAAACCACTGTGTCGATTCCACTAAGCTGTTTCTTAATAAAAAAACATTTTGATTACAATAAGACAATAATAAAATTATAATAACATTAAGACAATTATAAATGTTATAGTCCCATTCTCAACCATATTTATAACGAATGAAAAGTTGTTAATTAATTTAACAATTAAATTATAGTATCTTAGCTTCAATTTCAGGAAGAGTAGGTATTGGCTTTATAGTTATGTGTTTTAGCTTTGGGACGGAGCTAAGATGGTATGGGTAATACAACGATGTGTTATACGTTTTGTTTTGTTTTTTTTTTGTGTAGAACACACATTGGGAGTTAGTATTAGAGTGAATACACGATTGGTAGATCGGCTGTCAATAACATTATGTTACCGTGGTTTCCCATAAGTCGTAATTGACTACCTGTTATGTTCACTCTTATAGAGCAACCTAGTAGTATAGTGAAAGTGTATTTTTCTTCTTTTTTGGACTTTCCTCATATCCCCAAAGGATCTATTCACTCTAATTTTCAGTCCTCAAATCTTAAAACTAACCTTAATAATGTAAAAAAAGCTATGGTTTCCACATCTTCTAGGAGTAAGGGTTTATGATTTTTGTTTGCCAATTCATAGGATGTTAAAAAAAAAAATTAACATTCCACAATAATATGGACAAAAAACTTCAAAAAGAAAAACTACAAAATTATAAGTTCCACTAAATCCACATCTTGTTAGGATGATATATTATAAACTTAATCATAAAGAATTTTGAGTTCTTTGAAACACTTGTAATTTATAAATTATTCCGGACTATGAATTGACAACAAATACTACAATTGATAATTACAATAGTTGTAATGAGCAGCTATAAGATTGATTGCTATAAAAAAATACTTTCCGAGGGGAAAAAAAAAAATTTTACATTTTACAATAACCAATTATTATGTATATACTCACCAAACACGACTATTCTAATTAAAAAAAAGATGACTTGTAGCCACTCAGCAAATGTCACAAATATTGGTCGCTGTAAATTATGTTCGTTAAAAAAATACACAAATTAATAATTATTTTAATCATTATTATTTATGGCTATACTTACCTCGAACGATTATTAAATTAAAAACAGAAGATATGTTGCCAGTCAGCAAAACTTGCAAGAATCGGTTGTCATTATTCAAGTTTCCTAAAGTAAGGTAAAACAATTCTTATTTTAAAATTATCAGTAATTTCGTTTATACTAACTATAACCGCAACTGTCTGAATCCAGGAATAAGAAATGTTGTATTTCAGCAGGACTCTCAGGAATTGACGGCTGTAAATGAAGTTCCTGCAAAAACAAAAAAATAAAAACGTATTATTTACAGTTATGAGGTTTTTCCCGTTTTTGTCATTAAACTTGTCAAAATATGATAAATTGAACTTTTACATTATAATTTGTACATCTCATCATTGGACTTTTAATAACTGCGTGTATTAATAAAATATCTATCGCTGTTTTAACTAAACGTTTTAATAATAACTTAAAATAAAAATCTATTCAAAAAACTTTGAATGTGCATTGTTTGAACTAAAACTGACTGTCGTTATATTAAACTGTCTTTAAATTGTATTCATTCTTCTTAACCGAATGGTATGTAAATATATCACACTTCACTAACCTCTTATAACATGATGAATAAGAATTAAAATAATCAAATATTTAAAAAAACCAGTACATCGAGGTTGGGGCATAGTGGGGACGGAGGATAGTTGGATCGGGGCATAGTGGGGACGGGGAGGTTACAGATTTACAGAATTTTTTAAATCTGAAAATGATAAAATCACTTACGAAGAAACGCTTCGATGCAAATCGGTAGTTGATATTTTCAAGCCAGTACAGTCCAAACCAAGCACAGTATAAATCAGAAAAGTTAGAAAGTTTTAAATGAAGGTTCTGTATTTACAAATGAGCATCAAAGCGTTTATTTGAAAGCGATTTATTCAATTTTATCACTTTTATTTATAATAATTCCTGTAGACCTGTGACCTCTCCGTTTCCTCATTGCTTTGATTACATTATGCCAATACTCTACTGTACTAGTCCTCTCGGATAAAATCACTTTCAAATTAACGCTTTGATGCTCATTTGTAAATACAGAACCTTCATTTAAAACTTTCTAACTTTGCTGGTTTATACTGTGCTTGGTTTGGACTGTACTGGCTTGAAAATATTAACTACCGATTTGCATCGAAGCGTTTTTTCGAAAGTGATTTTATCACTTTCAGATTTAAAAATTCCTGTAAACCTGTGACCTCCCCGTCACCACTATGCCCCGACCCAACTATGCTCCGTCCCCACTATGCACCGACCCCACTGTACTGGTTTTTTAATATTGAACCAATTCCTTCGAGTAGCAACTCTATAAATAACAAATTGTATCTAGTTGGTACTTTGGAGGGTATAAGTTGAAAAAGATTACTTCTTCATAGTTAAAATTTAGAAAAACAAACATACGAGTTTTTAAGCTAAGAATTTACTGGCTTTAGAGTAATTTCAGAAGTAATTTAAGGAAATAACTTTTTCTTTATTGTGAATACACGGATGTCAAAAAAAAACTTTGTATAAAATATTACTCCAGTCTTTAATTTGTGTAGATCGAAACAAGTTTTGACCAGATTAAGTATAATTAAAGGAAATAAAACATTGCTTTTTATAAAAAAAAAATATTCAAACATTTATGTTAAGGGAAATATTATTTGATATACACTAATAGTAGATACTATTTAAATATTCCAGTAAAAGTTCAGCATCTACTACATTATTAATAAATTTAAATATTTTTGCGTCATCATCTAACGAAAGAATATATTAATATTTAATAGAAAAAACAAAATCATTAATAAATAAATAAAATTATAATGGGCGTGCTAATCTCCTCGTGGGACTCGAATAGACTGGGATTAGACATGACAATAAAGAGTCATACTTACCTGAGACGGCTCAAGGCCCTTCAGGCTACACCATCACTGGTTAACTGAGGTCCGCGGGGTTGTCACACCCGTTACCCAAAAAGGGTACCCCATGCGGAGATCCTAGCAAATAAGCAATAAAATATAGGCCAAACAATCAAAACAAAACTATACAAAATTGTCTACTCAGTAAAAGTTTCAATAATGTTTATTATTTAAGGCCGCCCAAATTACTTTGTCGCGTGTTTTATTGTTTTTACGAATATTATAATTGTGTGTGTGTTTATTAACTTTTAAGTTACTTTTCTTTTACTTAATTTAAAAGTGTTACCTTTTCTCCCGTAGATTTTAAGGTAATTCGAACTAAGTGTTTTTTTATATTAAGTGTATTGTGTTAAAGACCGCATCTCTTGAGGAAGCCACAGTACGGCTCTTGTTTCTTTGCTAGTGTCAGTACTTGCGTTCAAGCTACCCACCTGTTTATTAATAGTTATAAAGCTAGACGATATAATTGTCCCGAGGCATTATACTATTTATAATCAGAGGCTTGCTCGTTGGATGGAAAAACACCTGAGGCAGAAACAATCCGGAAGGTGACTAGAGCTCTGCCACATTTACACAAGTGCATTAAAGATCGTATCTCCCTAGGAAGCCAGAGTGAGGCTCTTGTTTCTTTGCTAGTGTCAGTACTTGCGTTCAAGCTACTCACCTGTTTATTAATAGTTATAAAGCTAGACGATATAATTGTCCCGAGGCATTATACTATTTATAATCAGAGGCTTGCTCGTTGGATGGAAAAACACCTGAGGCAGAAACAATCCGGAAGGTGACTAGAGCTCTGCCACATTTATGCGTACTTACTAAAAAGTTACTTTAGTGTTTAGGTAAAAGATTTTTTTAAAGATTTTAGGCGTTTTGATTAAAATATACGCAATCTGCGAAAACACAGTTTCCCGGAAATTAAAGAAAAACTGAAGTGACGAATTTTTTTTCCGTTTAATATGTTATGGATACATATTTACAACTACTGGCAAATTTTCAACCCAAAAGTTTTAAAATTACGGCTAAAAACCCCGAAAAACAAAAAATCTTGTACCCCCCCTAGGAGGGTGGGAAATGGGTATAGTTTAAATTTGACACAACTGACGTGTGCGGGCATACCAAATAATTATTTCTTATACATTTCAATTCGATCCGACTCTTTTTCTCGAAGTTATAGCCAGTAAAAGTTTTCTAACTTAAAAACTCGTACGGTTTTTTTTTGTTGTTTCAATTTTCGTCTGTGAAGAAGTAAACTTTTTCAACTTTTACCCCCCCAAAGTATCAACTAGATGAAATTTGCGATTTATAGAGTTGCTATTCGAAGGAATTGGTCTAGTATTAAAAAAGTTACAGTGTATACAGTGAAAAAAAAAGCCCACATCAGAGTAAAACCAATACCTTCGCTTTGCATTGAAGCTAAAAAATTCACCGTTCAAGTTACCTAATAGGGTTTGTCCGGAAACGCGTAGTAAAAGATTGGCTCAGCCATCTAATTGACACTCCACTATTTATATATTATGGCGTTAAGGTTAATGAGTCTTTCTTTTCTGCAGAGGAGCCACAAGTTCTATAGAGTGACCGAGACGAGTTTAGCGAACAGATAGATTATAGATATTCAGATATAATATATTGCTGTTCAGCGAAAATTGAACAACTTACAGTCTCGTCTTTATGTATCGTATTATAGTTATCATAAATCGATAATATCAAACATATAAAATAATATTAATCGTATCTCAATAAAGTTCATGCACATGATAAGTTCTGCTCTTTTAAAATTTTATTTCAGGTAGAACCCGTTATAAGACGTTTACACATAACTATTGTGAGTAATTTCCACGGCTCACTCGGTTTTTGTTTCGGTTTTAGTATATAAGAAGTTCTTGTCACTGTTGTAGTAGGAGCGAGGAAAAATAGTATTATTATGAAACTAAGCAATATATCTAGGCCAAATGGCAAACAGTTAATATGTTTATACAGCGAAAATTATATTTATTTCTATTATTTAAAGCCGCATAAATTGTTATGTGAAGAGGCCCTCTCTTGGGCTTAGCCCGGGGAATGGTCACTCTCTCGAGTATTATCGCTTATACGAGGGGTGTTTGTATCGCGTTGATGATTGTTTGTGTACTTTTAACTTTTATTTGAATGCTGTCGTATACGCACTTTGGTACACGAACCGTTAAACACACACACACACTGTAAATAAAATTACTTAATACCTTTTACCTAAACACTAAAGTAACTTTTTAGTAAGTACGCATAAATGTGGCAGAGCTCTAGTCACCTTCCGGATTGTTTCTGCCTCAGGTGTTTTTCCATCCAACGAGCAAGCCTCTGATTATAAATAGTATAATGCCTCGGGACAATTATATCGTCTAGCTTTATAACTATTAATAAACAGGTGGGTAGCTTGAACGCAAGTACTGACACTAGCAAAGAAACAAGAGCCGTACTGTGGCTTCCTCAAGAGATGCGGTCTTTAACACAATACACTTAATATAAAAAAACACTTAGTTCGAATTACCTTAAAATCTACGGGAGAAAAGGTAACACTTTTAAATTAAGTAAAAGAAAAGTAACTTAAAAGTTAATAAACACACACACAATTATAATATTCGTAAAAACAATAAAACACGCGACAAAGTAATTTGGGCGGCCTTAAATAATAAACATTATTGAAACTTTTACTGAGTAGACAATTTTGTATAGTTTTGTTTTGATTGTTTGGCCTATATTTTATTGCTTATTTGCTAGGATCTCCGCATGGGGTACCCTTTTTGGGTAACGGGTGTGACAACCCCGCGGACCTCAGTTAACCAGTGATGGTGTAGCCTGAAGGGCCTTGAGCCGTCTCAGGTAAGTATGACTCTTTATTGTCATGTCTAATCCCAGTCTATTCGAGTCCCACGAGGAGATTAGCACGCCCATTATAATTTTATTTATTTATTAATGATTTTGTTTTTTCTATTAAATATTAATATATTCTTTCGTTAGATGATGACGCAAAAATATTTAAATTTATTAATAATGTAGTAGATGCTGAACTTTTACTGGAATATTTAAATAGTATCTACTATTAGTGTATATCAAATAATATTTCCCTTAACATAAATGTTTGAATATTTTTTTTTTATAAAAAGCAATGTTTTATTTCCTTTAATTATACTTAATCTGGTCAAAACTTGTTTCGATCTACACAAATTAAAGACTGGAGTAATATTTTATACAAAGTTTTTTTTTGACATCCGTGTATTCACAATAAAGAAAAAGTTATTTCCTTAAATTACTTCTGAAATTACTCTAAAGCCAGTAAATTCTTAGCTTAAAAACTCGTATGTTTGTTTTTCTAAATTTTAACTATGAAGAAGTAATCTTTTTCAACTTATACCCTCCAAAGTACCAACTAGATACAATTTGTTATTTATAGAGTTGCTACTCGAAGGAATTGGTTCAATATTAAAAAACCAGTACAGTGTATAAAGATAAAAATTGGATTTTTAGTTCCAACTAATTTTATGAAAGAGCTATTCCATCCTTTAATAAAAAAATGTATTCGATGAGGTTAAAACATTGTTTGGTCTCCTAAATACCAAATAGAAGGAGGGAACTACAGATTACCACTAATAGTTCTATCAAAGTATGAAATAATTGGTAATAACTCTTGAGAAATTGTTTTAGACCTACATATGACTAATTTCAATTAAAATGTCGTTAATAGGTAAAAGTCATTGAAGTAATCATTTTATACTCTTAGGATATTTTTTCTTTTTATAATTTTTAAGGAAACAACCCTGAACTGGACTCTAATAAAAACTGTAGTTGTTACATTAATTACTCTTACCTCGAAATATACTACGCTTTTTTAAGGTTTAAGAGGTGTTTTGGTTTTAAAAAATTCTTAATAATATAATTTGTTAATATTTTCTTTAAATTCGCCTCGTATAACGTACAATTAAGCAAATATACTGAAGCCCATTAATGTACCATCCATAAACCATACATTTTCAGAAGAAAGTACAACAAGACCTTAAGATGTACACTTCCGTTTTCATAAATTTAAAAATTTAGTTGACTTACCATCCATTGTAGTTTTCCACATATCTGGTAATGAAAAAAAGAAGATCTTTGGACTCGTCAGGAATAATATATTTACGACGTGCACATCTTATCTTCGTCGAAAGGCGACAGTATTTCCCAGATATGAACAAACTGTATCTATTATAAATTATAATGAACATCAATATATTCATTATTTTCCTATAAAAAAAAATATTTTATTATTTATATTCCATGTATGGTTGATAAAATAATTTTAAAGGCCAAGAATGCGGTATTAACTTAGTACAGTCGTTATCAGATAAGTCGGCACAACGGCGGGGGCGTTTATCAATTTTTGTTACTACAATTATTATTATTATTATTATTACAAATTTTATAAAAATAAACTATCAACTATATTTGACAAAGCATAATAGACAAATATAGGTTTTTTAGGTTGTTTTTCACGAAAAATCGATTTCGATTTTTATCATAAAATCAGTCAGATCATATCAAATCTTTTCTTTATTCATAAATATTTTTTTAATAATGAACATTTTTTTATTAAAAAAAAAAAAAAAATACGTCTTAGTAAATTTTTGTTTTTTGCATATTTTGTGAGTAAAAAGTGTTAAATGTGCCTTACGATAAAAATGAAAAATAACACTATATTTTTATTTTAAGATTTAAAAAAAAAATAGAAATAAATCTCGGCTCATTCCCGTTTTTGGACGAAAATATTTAGTTTGAGTCTGATTTTATAATAAAAATTTCAGAATTTAGAATTTTAAAAATGGTCAAAACTGATTTTCGTGAAAAATAACATACAAAACCTCTCTATTTTAGTGGTAAATATTTTGTAATAATAGAGAAAGAGAGAGCGAGGGAGAGAAGAAGTATAAATATGCTAGGACGGATTGTAAATATTATGTTCGTTATGAAAAATAAATATGTGCGTGTTATTAATTTATCCTAACTTCTCTTATTTCCATTATTACTCTAAAATTATTATTATATAATATTTCCAAGTACCTTATTCGTGATGATGTAGAAGTTGTATCTGACGTCGATGAAGATGATTTAATTTAAAACATTTTACTTTAAGTAAAATACCACTGTTAAATACTAATATTGTACGATTCTACACTTATCGTCTGTTTAAAGTAACGATGTTTTCACTCATATGATTTATTTGTACTTATGCAAATTTACCTAACTTAACTGTATTATCAAGGACTTAACTGTGGAAAAAATGAGTACAAGATCATTCGGGCAGCGCTCTACTTCACAAACTAGACTGTTGTAGAGAAATACCTACAACGCTGAACGGTGACTGAAGGACCGATCACGGATGCCTTGTTGCAAGCTGTTTTATTTGGTTAGTCCGGATGTGGCGCCCTAGTCGATAATGTTCTGTAGAGGGGTGTATAGTGTGTGTTCATTGGTGAATTCCTTATGGGTTTCTGTCTCGTTTGCATGACTCCTCCCATTTAAGTTTTTTTATTAGCCACTTTTGAAATGGTACCGTATACATTTCATTAAGGGGAACGGAAAGCGTCAATTTTTTTACAAATAAAGACTAAAATGAGGAGTCAATTTTCTGAAGGGTCTACCTAATCGATTTAAATCATTTTTTTGTTTGTTTTATAGATTAACATCATCTCTATGGGGGCTAAAAAGACGATTTTTTATTATTGTTTTCAAAAAATACTTATAAGCATTATTATTTTAACTATTTTAAAGTTTTTTCTAATACATCTAACTACTTTTTTAATAGCTAAATATAAAATCGGCCTTTCAGCCCCTATAGAAAAAATAGTAAGATTAAAAAAAACAACACAAAATTTAAATTTGTACAATAGATACGCCAGAAAATGACTTCTACGAAAGTAATTTTTTATCAAACCTTCGTCATAACTCGGAGGAAAACAATTTTAAAGTATTATATTTAGAAAATTGTAATACGTGTAAAAAGTTAATAAAATACAATATAATAATAATGAATTATATGCGTTTATATTTAAGTTCCAAAAGTTGCTATAAATTGATTTAAAGTTTAAACGATAAACATTTTTTTTTTATGATATTGATTAATTTCAATAAGAAATATTTAATATTTTTAAACGATCAAAAAAAAAAATTATGTAACCAATATTCGGACCGTACTAATTGTCCGCGTTTAGCATTTTAAACAATGGACTGTTCAATGTAACCGTTAACATTATGGAGGTTTTTTTTAATCGACGTTCCCCAAAAAGGCTTTAAATTATGAAACACATCCTCTAATATTTGGAATTTTTATCTTTATCCCTTAAACTCTCTATTTTGACGAGAAACGTTTACTTAAGATTATAGATAATTAAACGAGGAGTTTTTAAATATTTATGAGATTAGATTGTCAATTCACTCGAAAAATATTTTATGCCGAGAGAAGTTTTTTTTTTTGTACGTGAAGGGTTATCGTTGAAACAGGAAGACGAGAGGAGAAAGATTAAAATCCAAATAAACTACAGGAATATTTGTTCACAACTTGAATCCTTTTTGAAGGGGCGTTGAATTAAATTAAAATAATAATATGAATAATAAGGAACACTCTTATTGTGAAACAGAACAGATGGAGTTTATACATCTGATTTGTTTCACAATAGTATAATGCGTCTGACCGACTTCCTTTTAATATATCCTGTATAACTAGTATATAAATAGTAATAGAATTATATAATAAAGGAGTCCGGTTTTGAATAGATTAAAATCTATGTGACAGAAAATAGAGGGAGTCTTAAGGCTATGTTACAGCTGGATTTCATGAAAGATTGACAACTGAATCGCTGTTATGTGTTTTCAGACATTTTTTAATTATGAGATAATCATTAACATTTGGCTATACATTTTTAACCGAGGAATACTTTAAAACATCGATGAGATGTGGTTGTCATCATCCCGAAAGATACTTTATTCTAGCTGAAGTTTTTTTTGTAGGTAAAGGCTTATCGTTGAATCCTTTTTGGGGTTGTTGGCTTAAATTTTATAAAATATAATAATAGGGACCACCCTTGTATAAATTCCATTCGTTCTGTTTCACAATAATGCAATGCGTCTGGCCGACTTCCTCCTAATTTACATATACCCACTCCATTTACATACATATATATATATATATATATATATATATATATATATATATATATATATATATATATATTATATATATTATATATATATATATATATATATATATATATATATATGTGAACGTAATCGTCGTACACTAAAAACGGTAGCCATCGATGTGAATTTTACTGCAAATACAACAGCGAGTATAAAGCAAGAACTGTTTCTATCACGGGGTAAAAATAAAACTTGTTTTATAGAATAACTAAACGACAATTTTCGTGAACATGGCTATAGAGTTATACAAGCTGAGACAGATGCTGATTATCTCATTGCAACAACAGCCATACATATTGCCAATAATACAACGGCAGTTGTAGCGGGCGATAACGTTGATCTTCTTGTGTTATTAGTAGCACTAACCTCTCAAGGAAATAATGTTAAAAATAACATCCTCATATCACACGACATGAGTGGGTGTGATACAACATTATACATGTATCGTAAGAGCAAAGTTAATTATCACACGATACTTAATAGCGATCGATTGGACTGGGTGGCTCAAGTTTTTGATAACCCCGACTCGTCGCCACAACTCCCAATAAGTTAGCAGTATGGCATTTAACTACCTGCTAGCAATTTACAGAGCACCGGAAAAGGAGACTTCAATAAGCGCCTTCCGTTTTTTCACTTCACTAAAAGTGCGATGAAGAAATTTAACTTGGCTTCTGTTACGGTGCAGTGCGGTGAGTGGATCACACTCACGACTGTCCGCCTTCTAGGGCTAAATCAAGGGACCCTAGCCGGGACAGGAAGCTAACCTGTATCTACCCTGAAATAATCCTAGAGACTCTTTATAAATTTATATAACCGCCCGAAGAGCAAAAGGGCCGGTCGTACCTTGGATAAACTAAAATAAACTAAACTATGAATTAACTTAACTCTCAAATAGCAACGTACAATATTATTTATTTAAAAAGGCTTAACGCCGAATAGAAATTAAGTTAACGATTAAAATATTAAAATAGCTATAAAACAATAAGTATAAAATATATTTACACCTGTACCTGGGGTCCTTGGTATCCGAAAACAAGAACAGGCGGAGTGACACGCACAAAAATATAAAAGATGCCGAATTGATTAGGTAATTATTAATTATGATATGAGCGCGTAGATGGTAAGATGTCAACTAATTATTATGAGTATGGACGCGAATGCTGTCCACCGGTGCAAGACGTGTCACTTCCTCTACTCTAATTATTATATTATTATACTAACAATACGCTCCCGGACCAGGGTACTGTCCGACATGTTTAGACTCCATAGATTTGGTTTGGAAGTAACGATAGCTACCAGCCATGCACAATACTATTATTGTTAATAATATGTCAGGCAAAAGCCATTGTTACACTTCATTACCACCTACGGAAGATGAGAGTAGATTCTATGCAAATTGTGCATACTTGCAAGTACAAACATGGCTTGGAAATCAAAAGAATCCAATTTAATGGGGTTGGCAGCTTGTCAATGGCATCTTAGCACCTATTCAAATGTTAAATGTTCAATTCAGACTTAAAAAAATCCGGACACAGAAATGTGTAGAATTAAAGGTTGTTTAAATGATAAAGGCATTTTTGCAAGCGGTCTCTTATTATAAAATAGTCGACAGAAATAAATCGTATGTTATGTTAAAGTTGTAAACTCCCTCGATCCTGTATCACATATATTGTAACCTAAAATGTTTTTTTTTAAATTCCCGCTTGTTACCTCGTTTTTTATAATTAAATCCTATCTTGCCTACACTATATATATAATTCATATTTATGTATAATCTACATTTTTTTTTTAATTTATGACCTTTTGAAATTTTTTTTGGTTCAAATTTTTTCTGTTGTGTTTTCAAAAAAAATAATGATGTTTGACAACAATTTTTTGGTCGACTGGTTCAAAATTAATAGGCCTTTCAGACTGAGGTAAGTACAACGACAAATCAATATTTAAAAAAAATCATTTTTTTTATTCAAAACAACTTAGAAATATCTAGTCTTTACGATT